GTGTGTGTGTGTGTGTGTGTGTGCGTGCGTGCGTGCGTGCGTGCGTGCGTGCGTCTTAACCTCCATGGCAGAGGCTCTGTCGAACCCCTAGGGTTCGATCGAACTCAGGTTAAGAACCACTGGTCTAGATGCAACTGGCTGGCAACCAGACCATTGTGTACCCCGTCTCTCACCCAGTTTTAACTGGAAAAGACTCCAGCTGAACCGCATGCCTAATGAGGACAAGCAGTTTACAGAAAATGGATGGACGATTAAATGAGTTTAAGTACATATTATTTTTAGATGACGCTTTGAATGTATATTTTATGTGTATTCGACTTTTGAAAAATGTTAAGACTCCCACCAACTATGAATATATCATTCTAGGCTGACTTTAAAATACACTTTCAACATCCCGCTGCAACTGGCTTATATCCAGACCTGCCTAAAGACTGCCTCCATCATCCTCGCCACGTCTGAATGACGCTCAGCCAGTAACCTTCACGCCAATTGTCATGAAGTGCTTTGAGAAGATGATCATGGCGTGCATCAAAAACTAGATCGTCATCACCGTGGACCCTCACCAGTACGCCTAGAGGAAGAACCGCTCCATTGAAGATGCCAGCTCATCGGTGGTGCACACAGCCCTGACCCACCTGGAAAGCAGTAACTCCTATGCCCATCTGCTAGTCCTGAATTCCTCCTCTGCATTCAACTCCATCATCCCACAGAACCTAATGCAAAAGCTGAACATTTTTGGGCTGCATCCATCAGTGGGGATCTGGGTCCTGGACTTCCTGACCAACAGAGCATAAACCGTAAGGGTCTACAACACCATTTGCTCCTCCATAACCCTCAACATTGGCTCCCCCAAGGTCTGTGTGCTGAGTTCCTTAATGGTCACACGACCGACCGATGACTGCTCCGCAAAATTCCCAAGCTGTGATATAAAGAAGTTTGCGGATGACACAGCGGTGCTGGGATGCGTCACAAACAACGATGAGTCAGAGTACAGAGAAGAGGTAGAACTGGCCAAAATATGGTCCATCAATGTCAAGATCGATGGTGGAGGACTGAAGGGGCAGCAGACCCTCTCAACCTTGCAGAAGTGGTGAGATCCATCGTTCCAAGGACCAGAATAGAAGCTTAAACATTTCCGGTCTGCTGTAAAAAATCTCAACGTCTCCACTTCCTCGGAAGCTGCAATGTGCCTGATACAGGTGCTCTGTATTATCAAGGACCCACCCACTCCTCACACACCCTCTTCCATCTCCTCCCCTCATGCAGGATGATCCGGAGCAGTCCCACCAGGCCACACTTGAATGGGAGTGAAGGTACTGTGAGAATCATCATTGCTTCACAATTGATTCTGGGATTATATTTGGTTTTCTTGTTTCTCTTATTTGGCTTAGGCCATTTTGGATGTGCATCTCTTCTTTGTTACGTCCTGCTGGATTCCCACAGTTCAAAAACACGTTCGGTTAATTCAACACTTATAAGATCAAGGATTGATTGTGAGTGTGAATGGATATCGGTCATGTCACGTGACAGTCCTGTGATTGACTGCTAATTAGTCCATTGTGTACAGCGCTGCACTGCATACTCAGTATATGGAAGTGAGCAACGTGTGAGACCCTGTTGCCTCCTGTTTGAGGTCTTATGTCTCAAGTGCCCTTTTTTAAAACCAATATTCAATCACTGACTCACTGGATCTTGTTGCCGATATTGGATGTAGTAACTAACACTTTGCGCGTCTATCGGTATATTTGCATGCAATTGGATAGACCTCCAGACAGCATATCCACAGCAGATATAGAGCAGTAGAATTGCTATCTGGGCCAGCTTCTGATACTGAATTGATGGGCCAATCACCCCAAGACTGCTGAATTGAAGAACAAAGACAAAATAAGCGTCGGCATACAAGATTAAAGTCATGTAAAATACCCATCACTCCCTGTATTTTGGTTGTAAATGGTGTGGAAAAAAAAAGTGGATCTTCAGACTTGCTTGTCTCAGGGCAGGGTACTGTGCACTGTGTGCAGTGATCTCGAGAAGTGCAATCCTCTAAAATGCTTTTAGTATGACATGGAGTCAAAAAAATAGGGTAAGATCTTACTCTCCAGTATGATCCATGAGATAGTATTTGCTCCATATGACATCATCTATACGTGCACATTTTATTTGTATTTATATTCAGATTGTGTATATATGCCGTCAATGTGACTCAAACACATTTTTGTCTTACCGAATGTATCTTTTGCTAATTATCCCTGGGGGACCTGTAGTATACACCGCTGAAAAAAATGAAAAAAACGATCAGTCTCAATCCACTACTGAATCTGCAGGGACATTGCACACACACACACACACACACACACACACGCACACACGCACGCACGCACGCACGCACGCACGCACGCACGCACACACACACACACAGACTCAATTTTTAACTTTTTTTCCTCCCTCTCTCACTGCCTCGTTTTCTTCCGATGACAAGAACAATCCAGATGAATAACATCAGGGGTCAGAGAAGTGCACGCACCAAAATAAGAGAAGCGTAATAAAGAGAAAGCCTTCGTTCAAATTATATGCAGCATTTGCACATTTACACTCCCACCCACACACACAGTGTGGCCTGCACACGTGGGCCCACGTGGGACAGGCACACAAAGGAATCCAATCAATCAGCAAAGTTGCCTTATCTCTTGCATATGAAAATGGAACTTCAGAAATTAGCTCATTTATTTTGCACAATTAGGGTTATTGAAGTGTGACAGTGAAAATTTAGTGCTCGCTGAGGCATGCGCTTGGCAACAATAGCAGGGAGCCAATTGAGCGCGAATAGCATTTAAAGCTGTAGTATTTACTTATCAATATACCCACCGCTCTGCGGTGATCTCATTAAAAGCTCTTCCAATGTTTTTCCTTTTTAGGTTTGGGGTGGGAGGGGGGGGGATGAGTCCAAAGCAGCCATCCATGTCGCATATGATATTAGAACCAGTGGGAAAACTGACAAATGGAAGACACATTCGAGCTGGGGGCTGACGTTTTGAGCCCTGCTGCGGACAAAATGTAAAAATGACAATTAGTTGTTGAAGGCTACCGTTGACGTGACCTGAAGAGAGAGAGAGAGAGAGAGAGAGAGAGAGAGAGAGAGAGAGAGAGAGACAATTCACTACAGGGCAACAGTCATATTGTATGCATGAGACTTGATTTTTAGTTTTACTGCTTTTATGCTTTCTACTGTCTTTGTTATTAGTTTATTGTTGTTGTATATAAGATCTTTACTCCATGTACAGCACTTTGTATAGAGCGGTGGTTGTTTTAAAATGCTCTACAAATACAGTTGAGTTGAATTGAGCATGAGTACATCTGTCTGTGAAAACTGCTTACCTGTAAGACAATGTGTCCCAGAACACAACTTCATCAATATGCAGTACATTCATGCACTTCATTTTCCGAAGAGCTACATTATTTTTAAATAAACGCTCTCTTCCACGCCTCACCAAAGTATGCATAATTCATCACAATCTACATAGCGTTTGATTTGAATCAGGCCATTTAGGAGGAAAAGAGGGCCGGGTGATGGAGTTCATTCATTCTCAAGTCTGAGAGCCGGAGATCTTAAGGAGACAAATAACGAGCAGTGACAGAGGCCATCTATGAAGGGATAAATATTTAAGAAGCTATTTTAATAAGTTATACTCAACATAAAAGCAGCGTTTGTTATGGCCTCCCAGTCGTCATTACATATTCAGGTACTGTCGTGTTTTGTTTTTTTGTCTGTGCCATCAGACTTCGCTTTAATATTAACACATCTGCAGATGGATATTTCATTGCATGGTTAAGTGTGTGAATCCCCTGCCACGAAGTTATTGTCACTTCTAAGATGATTAATGACTTTTGGCTTGAAATAAATTTGCATTCCTTACGTTAAAAACATGAGCTCACAACAGCATCTTCCCTTTGTTTGCTTTTTCATTCAGTCCCTTGTTTGGGCGACGTCTCAGGATGGAGTCTTGGTTGAAGCTGCTGGAAAAAGTGGGCCACAAAATAAAACCTTTCAGCAATATTTACATATGCAAATGCAGGAGGCTTTCTGCAGCAGAAGTACCTCCTATTGAAACAGGGTGAGCAATTGTGTGTTTTTGTGAAACAATTTACATTATCGTACACAGTCAGGGTAAAGTTATTATAAGCCCTAAATTATTCATATCCTGGCCACTTTTTGACAAGTGAATGTTGAATAGGTATTTTCTGTATGGATGTATCCCCTCTCCAGCCTGCCTGTGTAGAGTTTGCATGTTCTCCCCGTGCCTGCGTAGGTTTTCTCTGGGTACTCCGGTTTCCTCCCACATTCCAAAAATGCATAGCGGGCTGATTTAACACTCAAAATTTTCCCTGGGTGTGAGTGTGAGCACGGGTGGTTGTTCGTCTCTGTGTTCCCTGTGATTGGCTGGCAGGGTGGTTCAGGGTGTCCCCCGCCTACTGCCTGAAGATGGCTGGGATAGGCTCCAGCACCCCCGCGACCCTTGTGAGGATAAAGCGGATGGGAAAATGAATGAATGAATGAATGTATGGATGTGCCACAAGAAAGTTCTAAGGGACTGGAGTGAGAACAGACTTGGGTTTGGAAGGATAAGTCCCAGATGCACTGTAAAATTGTAAAAAATAGTGAGTAATGCTAGTTTGATTGCTGGCTACTGTTGAAGTGTACTTGAGCAAGGCATTGGCGCAGCACGCTTTATGCACCTCTTTTTCGCTGAATCGCTCCGCGAATATGTGTGTGGGTATGGTGTGCCACACAAGGACCATACATGCGAAAGCGTGAGTTTAACTTCCTCTTGAAACTAAAACCAAAACAACAATCAGTTAAAAACCTGAAAAAGAAGTTGTGATATAGTTTAATTTCAAAGTACTGTTTTCACTTTATTACATTTTAAAATGTGTTCATTTACTTTTATTGAAAACTGCTGTACAGTGTGTGTGTGTGTGTGTGTGTGTGTGTGTGTGTGTGTGTGTGTGTGTGTGTAGTTTAGGGTGTACCGCGCTGGAATAGCTGGGATAGGGTCCATCTATACATGCCGCATATACATATCCGATGTGTCACCAGAGTGTACTGCTGGAGGTACAGTAAAAGTAAGTAAGTTAGTAAATATCTTGGCTGGAGAAACTTATACAACACAATACAATACATCTTAATTTGTTGTGTAATTTCACACTTGTTGGGTAGGCGGACCCTCCTGAGCAATTAAAAAGTAATTTTTCCATAATAGGTCCCATATAATATTACCACTGTTTTGCAAACCAATGGTCCAAACAGATCCTGTTGCACACAGATCAGCAGCATTACACCACTCTCAATTTCAACAAGGAGTCCCTTGTGACATTGCTGTTCCACTGAAACACACACACGCGCACACATGTACATACGCCCGTGCGTGCACTGAGGCTGGCAGCCAAAGCAGGCTTGGCATGGGGCCTAATGATGCTCGGGCATGCGTCTGCTCTCAACAACAGCAGGGTAACACCTGCCAAATCTTACTAAGGTGTAAATGTCTCTATTAGCAAGTGGCTGGTCCCCCATGTAAGTCTCATAGATCATTGGAAGCACTTTGATTGCTGTTTAGAACCTGGTAATCTTTGGGTCCAGTGGGCATGTTGACCATGTCGCTCTCTATTTCCTGTCATGTGAAAGAAGCAGCAGGAAATGGCTGCTGCAAAAGAGAAAATATACCAAATTGAAGCTCATAAAGCTTAAAAAAAAAAAACTTAAAAAAAAATCATAAATACTGTATTTCTCCCAATATGCCCTGAATTTATGAAGGAATATTTTTCTTGACTTTGACTATCATGTGTCTTGTTATACTCTTGTCATCAACCCTCCTCATCTCTTCAGTTTGGCCTGAAAAGACAACACACAGCATATGTTTTCTGTGGGATCTTTTTTGGGAAATTGCTTTATAATTTCAATACATATAAACATTTCTAGTGTGAGTGTGAGCGCAGATGGTTGTTCGTCTTTGTGTGCCCTGCAATTGGCCGGCAACTGGTTCAGGGTGTCCCCTGCCTACTGCCCAAAGACGGCTGGGATAGGCTCCAGCACCCCCCCCCCCCCGACCCTTGTGAGGATAAGCGGATCGAAAATGGATGGATGGATAAACATTTCTGTAGTTTCTAGAACAGCAGTATTTGTTTGATGAACTGTATTTCAGCCAATTTTAATAGCTTTTGCATTTGCTTTTTCTTATTTAGAGAGGGTGTGAAACTTTATACAGTATAGATCATTGGTTCTCAACTGTTGACACACGGGGAGCCACAGTTTCCTACTGTAGCCAAGTCCCAACACACTTTATAACAGGCGTGATGAAAATTAGTACTGCTTAAAATTGATATGTGCCATATTTTACATCCCTTACGCTTACGTGGTGCTTTCAGAGCACCTAATTAAGAAAGTGATGATGAACATGACAACAACAAATGTAAAATGTATTCTTCACATTGAGATCTGTAACAACGAAACATTTTAATCGCTGTGACCTGAGCAACCCCTGCAAATTGTTATTATAGTCGACTGAATATACATTGAAACCTATTCAAAAGATAAATCACATTTAATTAGTCTTACACCAGCCAATGCTGTGAGTAGCCGGCCAGTTGTGATGTGCAGAGCACTCCGGCTGAACTTACACTTTGAGGAAGAGAATGTTTTTTTTGTTTTTTCTTTAAAAAAAAAAAAAAAGGTAAGCAATAAATAAACTAATCAGAATACAGTGCTTGGGACTGAATGCATGTTTAATGGTCCGTCAATAAAAAAAGGTGCTGTGCTTCTGGTGTTCTACATCACAGCTTCATCGCCTGATTTCATGTTGACATATTTTGACAGACTGGCATTGAAACAAATAAAAACTAATGATTAAATATAGAACTCACCTTTGCACCATTACAATGCAGGTAGTTGGTGTCTTTATGGAGCCCTGTGCTTATTTCTCTTCACCAAGATGGTCCCGTGTCGAGGTTATCTTTTTTTGTTTCAAAAGACTCCAAAGGTTTGTCTTTTGATGTCAGCTGGCACCATGTTTGTGGGGGGGGGGGGGCTCCTTACAGTTGTAGGTGAACATTGTAAAACAAATGGAGAAAAACCCCACAATAAATATCACAACTAAAATGCTGTAAGAGCCAACTGAAAATATGTTTTTAATCAGTCTCTCTGTGTGGACACTGTGGTTGGAGACCCCTGCTTGAAACTTGTTAATTTATCAAGCACCAGTAAGGCATGGGGTTGATTGGTATAGCTTGAAATCAGTGCATTAGTGTATGACAACCTTGGCAGGATTCAAAAAAGAAAAGAAGCAAAGAAAACAAAAATGAAAAAAAAACGTGACAGTGAAAGTTTTGATCCATTTGATATAATAATGATCATTTGCAATATTATTCGAACGTGTGGTGTACATTGTAACTGCATCTGCATCAAACTGCCATCTGATGGTTCACTTGAATACATGACTCACTAATACACCTATTATGGTTGGACAGGCTGATGGATGGAGGTTGTTGTTTTTCTGTTGATCAACTATAAATTGCAATGCGTAAGTTCCTGCTCTTTTATCAGTCACTTTGCTATGTCAACCATTTCAGTGAGATGTTTTATTTTCAGTGCCAAGCTATAGTACCCGGTAATCGACAAGTCAATAAAGGTAGGTGTGAAGAGATTTGCTGTTTACCTAAATGACTTCAGGGCAAGACCTGGTGTGAAAAGACAGTGTAAGGCTGTCAGACCTCACCTTTGTCAAACAGGATGCTTTTCATATGATTCAACAGGTTAGGGTTATTGCAACACCCTTTGTCAAACAGGATGCTTTTCATATGATTCAACAGCAAAAGTGATCACATAACCTGAAGTGGACCTAACATTTTTTTCCCGATTTTGAAACATTACATGTATGTTTGCACAACTTTACCAAAACTGTTTGCGGGGGGCACACGGTGACAAAACCTTGATGACGCGCAGGGTGTTATACTTTCATTCCGGCGTTACTTATTAGGCATTTTACTTCCTTCCTAGATTCTTCCACCCCTTGTGAACAAACATAACTGATCCGAGGTATTAGTTGCGGTTAAACATGTACATTCCACCACATGTCTTGCTTTGACAAAATGAGCAATGGAAGCACATGCACATGCAAAGGCTTGTCATGTGCACACAAAGTCCATTGTGGCACTCTTCAATGAAGTGGGGAACGATTCACCCGTGTTGGATTGTAGAACTACGTAGCTGAGCTTTCCAGAAACATAAATTTCACAGCTGTCAAGTTGTTTCTATAAGCTGAAATGGAGCACATACGGTATAATATAATAAAAATATCAAACTGTATGTCTGTCTGAAAGAGGTACTACTTACATATTGTAACCAAGAGACTTGCTGGGACGATCAGAAAACCGCTTACGCGTTCATTAATTTGCCGGCACAGAGGAAATATTTCCTGATTCAAAATTCAAAATGCTGCCACGAAGAATCCTGGCCGCAATAAATCATTCAGCATGGCCAGCCACCCTCGCTAATACTGCCAAATCAGCAGAGCAGAGCAAAGTTTTATATGACCATCAATAATTAAGACACAATAACCTTATGACTACATTCTTGTGAGCTGTACTGTAATTGAAGGAGAGATAGATAGATAGACAGCTAGATAGATAGATAGATAGATAGATAGATAGATAGATAGATAGATAGATAGATAGATAGATTGCGCTGTCACTAATTGCAGAGTCAAACTAAGTGGGGGCTGGATGGAATTTGACAGGTGCGTTATGAGGTGATTATTTATGGAGACTTTTTAATTAAAAGAAAAACTGCTTATTAGGAACCCTCAGGTCCCTCATTAATAGCTTTCGCGTGAAGAGTCAGTGAGTTGTTGAAGGTTAGTAGGGAGCACTAATGAGATGTGCTGTGTGGTAGAGTAAATGTCATCAATTCCATCTAGATACATCTATATGAGTTCTGAGAGCGAAAGTCACAAAGCATTTTAACCAAACAGTGAATGTAAATACTGTAAATTGTATGATGTTCTTGATACTATATGTTGACACAAAACACATTTGGCTGCTCATTTTTACAACAGATAATCCTTCCTATACACCCACAGTAGTCAAACCTCTTTATTTCATTCTGTTGTACAAAAAGGGTCCTATTTTGGTGCACAGCGCAAGTCTAACGCAAAGAACAGTCTAGCTATGTGCATGGGTCGTGTTTTTTCCTGGTGTTTTCATCGACGCATATGGTTAGAAACACGCATTTTTATCATTCTGAGCGTGAACACAACCAACTTTTGGTGTTTTCATAGACGCATATAGTTAGAAACATGCATTTTTATCATTCTGAGCGTGAACACAACCAACTAGCCTTACCGCCCATTGGAAGCGCCTCTTCTCCTTCCGTTTAAATTCAGCACAGGAGAGGTGCACGGTCTACATGGCTGGAATATATGCAGGAGATTGATACACGCAAAGTACATTAATAAGGGAACAGTAAGATCTCCTCTTGCAGATACAGTGGTACCTCTACTTTCGAAATTAATTGGTTCTGGAAGAAATTTCTTAACTAGAAAAATTTGTAAGTAGAGACGTGTTTTCTCCATGTAAATGTACTAATTCGTTCCAAGCCCCACCTCCCAAAATTCTGACATAAATGTTTCCTAAAGCATAAAAATGGATCAAAATATGTAACAAATACAAGTTGCAATTAGATTATTGCACAATAAATGAGAATTGTGCATAATCTACAAAACACAGAATAAAGAATAAAAATGATGGTCATTTCACTTTTAACTGCGTCCTCATCGTTTTGTTTGCCCTCTTTAGTCCATGTTCTCTCTCAGAAGTGGTTTTTGCCTGGCGTTTTGTAAAGAACGGATCCAAGGACGTTTGCTTTTGTCGGCTTTTAACAATCCTTTGAAAATGTCCAAGGCAAACGTCAGCATAGTGAGCGATCGCCCGCAGAACACTTTTTCTGGGTGATTCACATTTGCATAAAACTATCGGAACACCTCATGGCCTGAGGAGAGAATGACGAGGACACTGCATACATGCAGATATATCTGTCGATCTATCTACACGCATAAACACATGCAGTAGAAGTCCCTCTTAGCTAATGGGATGCAGCTACAAGTATGTTGCGTTCAGGAAACTCGGAGCTGCGATTAGCAGGCCATATTGTATTTTTACCTTTCGTATCTTGAAATTTCTTTTGTAACAAGAGGCAATATTTTCCTGTTGAGACGTTTCATAATTTGAACATTTCATATGAAGAGACGTTCTAAGTGTCGAGGTACCACTGTATATAAAATTGGCCAGGGCGATCACAGACTGCGGCTTTGAAGTGAGCAGTTAGAGACTGCTTTCCAAATTGATCATGTATTTCATTGTGCGCTAGCCCACCGCTTCTCCCACATAGTTGTACCACGGCCCAGGGCGTGATTAAACATAACAAAGATGATGAAAATAATAATAATCCCTTCAATTATTTGATTTCTTCAATGACTCCGAGAGTTCGATGAATCCTGTTATCCTATTTATGAATGAAATACAATGACATCCACCACAGACATATCTGCGGAGCTCAGAATCTGTCTGCCTGTACCTCGGTCGAATTCACCAAAATCACATTCCGCCACCATTGCCACAAATTAGACCTGCTTTTAGCTCGTTTAATGTTCAC